TGATTTGTAAATAATATCAACAACAATCTTACAACGGGGGTGTGATATCTGGCGACTGTTTGGAGATCAACATAGCATGCTTGGCGCAGGTACCCCTTCTCCTAAAAGGGTTAATGTATTTATTAAGAGTTGCATGTTAGCCTCGGAAGAGGAAGGTAGTAGATTGTACTATGCGGTAGGAGCGACGTACTGCTCTGAGTAACTATTATATTATGCTTTGAATCATATATTTAATAAATGTTTGTTTCGTCTTGCTAAATGGTGCCTTATTAAACCACGAAGTCATCACATCATGATCCCGTGAAAGCCCCGTATACGCCCTTTAGCCAAACCGGCATGTGTATTCTCTCCTCTCTGCCACACGACACCGAGTCAGAACAGGCATTACAAGAAGGGTGTGCTATAAAACAGGGTTTCTTAAACTCTTTTCACTCGCGACCCCTTTTTATGATTGAGAGTTTTTCGTGACCCCCAGGACCCCATAATATTTACAAAAATTTTGTGGGGCCCCATAAGTATTGCGCATGACCGACACACGCGTGAGTGAAACTGTCAATTGTTTCACTTGTACTGTAATATACTATTGCAGTTTTAGGCCATTAGCTTTAATTTCTAATTTTAAAGTATATAACAATGGGAAAATTTTAAATAAGTAACAGACGAAATGACAACGTCATGTTCAAAGCAAGAAAAATAAACGTTTATATTATAAAAGAAATGTGTCTATGTCACATTTGTCTAAATATGTCATCTATTTTCAGATACATTGTGTAAAAATATTTGGTAATTGTAAAATTATTGTAATAAGTTAAAGAAATATCAAAACTGCTAAAATTTTTGTCGACCCCCTGCTGCAGATCCCGCGACTCCCTTAGGAGTCGCAACCTACAGTTTAAGAAACCCTGCTATAAAGAAGGCTTGTGTAAGTTATATAGCAAGCCAGAAAAAATATGTTGTTATGAGTTTTATGTGAATTATATCTTTATTTGTTTGAGTTGTGAATAAAGTGCTATACGACGTACGTATGATTTATGGAATTGTCCTCATCATCTACAATGTTGATGCGCCAAGAATCCACCTTCCGATGAAAGTCTCACAGTGAATCATTGTACTGTTAAAATTTACGATTTTAAGTATATAAAGTACCTTACTTGCTTTCCAAAATAAAAGGTTCAAAACTTAGGATTCCATTTTAAAGTGTTTTACAATCGACGCCATTCACAGCTTCAAATCAAAGAATAATTAAATTTAACATTTTGATATTTTTCAATATTTTCATATACTTTGCATTAACAACTAGTATAAATTTTATGAATAAACATGCCAGAAGAGCAAAAGAAATCAGACAAAAATTTAAAACCCTTTTTACAACTTTAAGCATCCGGAGGATACTTTCGTCAATTTACATCCCATATGTAAAACGTATAGCGACGATAAAAAATATATTACAACACTTAATACTGTGTAATCGTGAACACTGATCAGCTGATTGCTTCCTCAGAGTACACATTCACCTTTTTTTAATTTAAGTTAACGCTTGAAATAATAATTTTCTATTGAATTTGCTTTAAAAAAATTTAAAGGATTAAACTTTTTTAAAGGGATTTTAAAGGGTTTGATTTTAAAGGGATTTAAAAAGGTTCTGGTTCAAAGGTTAAAATTTTAAATGTTACTCAGACATTTTGTCAAATATGTGTAGAAAACGAACCCCAGGCTTCAAGAGATTCTTGAGCACTTTCCTTAATTAATTTCATGTAATAAATATTTGAGTATTTTTAAAAGTAGAATTCTTTTCTTATGCTGATTTTTCCATAAAAGATTTAAGAGTACTGAAAACTTAATGTTGTTTGCCCGTGTAATATTCTCATAAACCTTTTTTGAAATTTGCATATGAATTAGGAAATAGTTAAGGTCTCTTAGTGTTATCATCGCATAGTATAAAATTCACATACATACAGGATATTGTCATAAAGATATTCTAATAGAAGGCAGAATTTGTGAAACTCTTTTCTTTTTCTTAGAAATTTGCGTATAAGCTTCTCATTATAAAATACAAGGAAAACAAAAAAGAACTATTGCCAGTATATTCAGCTCATGAATCTCATAAAAGTTCTTATTAAGACTACAGTCATGTACAGGTGGTCGGTCAATCTGAAAAACTTTTAGAGACGAGAAGATTAATAAAAAGCAGACCATATGCTAGACAGTTTTTGTGGTACGACGGCGTCGGACTTTTTCCGACGCGAAAACACATCAGCGGTACACAATGATTGCTTAGAAAAGAAAAATAAAAGCCAGACAGAGGATTAACTTCAAAATATTCCTTTTACTTCGTCATTCTGAAACCATTTTATTTTTGCCCGTTATGTACAAAGACGAAGTTGTTAAAAGAATTTTACGCTGCTGCAAGATAAGTGATCAAAATTGCCTTTTGAAAAGGATTTTCACTTTCGGATCAGAAACGATGTTTTTTCCCTTGCTTTTAAGAACCATATTTTAAAAATAAGTATAGTTATCTCTCCTTCAAACAAACGATATTCGAGATGAAAAATCTTTAACAATTTGAAAAAAAAAAAGTATCTTGAGCTTAATAATAATGCATTAATTGTGAGCTGAAAGTTGCTGGCATACGAACATCATACATCTAAAACGATCACTTATGATTCCAGATGATTTTTGTCTTTTTAAAGAAATAATGTTCCGTATGATTGTTAAATTATATTTTCAAAAGTGCTAGTCACTTTCAAAAATGGTCGTATTAGGGAGGTGGTCTTTGGGAGACAGTTCACCGTATATTCCTGAGAAAGTTCTTTGCTAACTTTGAATGTCTCATGCACAACATAACGATAATAATATTATGGAAGGTAACATATTGAGTAAAATTAGTATAATGTGATGTTGTGAATGTAAAAATAATGATATCGCTTTAGCGCAATAATGCGTTACAGAAATGTTATCTTTCTTTTACTTCAAACGCAGAAATGAAATAGACTAAAACAATTTTCGCCGAGCAGACAAAAATTTAAAAATGTAAATAATAAGGTATTTGTCGCATGAATTTCGTTACTTTTGAAATTTTTTCTCATATAAATTTCCGCAAAATAAACTGCGTTTTAAAATCATAGTTTTTTCTCGAATCGTTAATTATTCCAGAAACAGTAATTATTTTTAAATTGCTAATTTAAATAAAAGAATACTATGTTGTTAATAAACTGAAGCTGAATTGAAATGATTAAATTAGTAATTTTTAGATGTATTTGAATATTTCATTTTATTAATTTTATTTGCATAGCATCAAATCTGTCTCATTTTTTTTACTGTTGATAATACTGATAATTGATTTTTGCCCCTCATAATCGAAAGCGTCTAATTAGAAACAAAAGATATAATATTTTAGCTACGTATTTGCTATTTGTGCCGCCCAAACGGTATAGTGGAGCCTTCTGCGGTACCGAAGGGCCCGCGTTCGAATCCAGGAAAAGGCACGGATTTTTGTAAATGTACAATGCCTTTGCGGCATTGAAACAGCCTAAATATATGGCAAGCCGAAAGTCCTCTCGTGAAGTATGGCGGTAGGGGAGAGGGTAGGAGGTCCTCGAACCATTCCCTGAGGCGCTGTCCCTCAAATCTCGGATGGAAGCTGAAGTCCAACCTCTTTGAGGTTCTTGCAACCATTCTTCATGGAATATATGAACAAGACAGAAATATTTGTTATTTATGGTGCTGCTTCATATCTAGAATCTATTCACATCAGACATTTTCGGAAGACTTAACATAAATCTCTGACTGTGAATTTATTTCTGTAACTAACTCTCTTGCAGGATTCTATACCCAGAGACCACCCTTCGAATTTCGTCCTTTTTCCGTCATAAAATTATTGTCTTTGAAATAGGTAATGGGTAAAAGGTAATATTTGTTGGGTTTTCTAAGTATTAGAGCCTCCATCTTGAAGACGACTACAGAGGGTGGTTACACATCTTTAGAACGATTTCGAGGCCGTTTAATTAAAGAATATTTTATTTAATGTTCTATAGCCTTTTTCGTGGACTATAAGTCTGCACCGTGATTTTCATGATAGAAGGGCTTTCCGTAAAATTTCCAGGAGCACTGATTTCCATTCCTCTTCCTCTGCTTTCCAGATTCCATCAATTAGGGTGGATTGAGCTTAAAAAGAGTTCTTTTCAAGAGATCAAAGGGACAATATTCTATAGATGATATTTCTGTTTTCAAATAATACGCTTTTGCCAGAAAGTTTTATTTCAAAACATTTGGTTTTTTTTTAACTTCTTTATTGAAATCGTTCTAGAAATGTGTAAACACCATCCGTATTTTGAATCTTGCCCTAAATTTTCAAATGATAGAAAATGCACGAGATTCAGGAATTCGAGCTATAAATTTTTACGAAGTTAAGTTTACTGCAATTAAGTTATAAGGTATTTCTTCCGCCTTCTTGGCATGCCTCCATGGTGTGGTGGTCTGCACAGTGGGAGCGTATTCCAGAGGTCCGTGGTTCGATCTCAGGAGAAGGCGTTGCTAATTTTTCATCACTCCTGCTGCCCCCCCCAAAAAAAATCCTAATGTCTCTACAGTGGTGCCGAATTAAAAGGGTGATGGATGATGATTCTCCCCACCCAGGATTTGGCGATTGGGTCTCCTAAAAACTCCACTTGCCCTTTAAAAGGGGGAATATATAAAGTATTTCTCCCGCCTTCTTGGCATGTCTTCGTTGTGTGGTGGTCTGCACTCTGAGCGCGTATTCCAGAGGTCCACGGTTCGATTCCCGGCGAAGGCGTTGCTAATTTTTCATCTTGCCTGTTTCCAAAAATACCTAATGTCTTTACAAAGTTACTGCAGTTAGATTTTTGATAACTTTATTTGTTATACTGTCTGTAAAGCTGACATTAATGTCTGTTATTTGCACAATATAAGAGATTCATCATATTCCTAGGAATACAGGAACAATTTGTGATCGTATATAAATATGACGAAAGGCGGTCTCGTACTGTTGTTAATGAATTTAATATTCATAATCCCAAGAAAGCAAATTTATCATTCACAGTCTTATAAACATGTTTTAAAACATCAATGAGGTGGGTTCACTACATGGCAAATACCATAATGGTTGTCTGAAAATTGCAAGAAACGAAGCATTTATCAATATTATTCGCTAACTATTTCCGTAAGCAGTCTAAACGTAGTACGCATGAAAATGAACGTCTGTATCTGCACACAAAAAGTAAGTTTCAACTTTGCAAGCATTAAGAAAGATGACCTAAACAGAGACTTCGAATTCGCAATATGAGTTGGCCAGAAACATATATTCTCAGGAAAATCTTCTTCTGTGATGAATCGTTTCTTAGTTAATGATGAAAAATTATAGATGCTAAGGTGATTTCAATCCATCTTGAACAGATCCTATTGATGATGCTCAAAAGATGGTGAGGAACTTCTTCCATCAGTCTTAGTTTGTTTCTGACTCATCATTGTTATGGTGAATCACCTGAAAGGAAAAGATTACAAGTCATTATCAATACCTTTACGTCATATACCTAAGACTTATCTTCTGAATGACTAAGGCTATCAAAAGCCTAATTTTTGAGAAATCTTAGTTTAAATTTATGTATCACATATTAAGATTTCCATTACGAAGTTTCGAGGAATACTGAAAAAGGCAGGTATAAAGACAGAAATGAAACTCATATTCTTAAATATCAATGATTTACGAAATAAAAAGGTGTTTGCAGACATTTAATCCTCTGCATATGCACAGAATTTTAATAACGGTAATTAATAGATTGGCATGGTTAATTTATTTAGTTAAAATACGAGAGAACTGTGTTCTTAAGAGGAGAAATGCTTTTGTGGACAATATCCTGAGAGGTAATAGCACATATTCCAGTTACACACGAGGAAAACCACGAAAAATAATCTCATGCAACCGGTCTGATGCCTAGTTTTGAACCCGAGACTAGAAGCATTTGACTCTTCATCATCATCATCATCGTATTGGTGGACTCATTCATGAACTAGAACTTGGTAACAGAAATGTCAGATGCGTTTAAAAATATAAGAAGTTGAAAAGATTTTTAAGTTGGATTCGTTATCACATTAAATTGAAACTATTAAATTTTGATTACAAAAGCGATAATGGTGATTTAAAAATAAAAACTTTACATGCATATTTAGGATTTGAAAAGGCATAAAAAATATAAATTTATTTATTCCTTTAAATTTGAGTTCATATTGTTGTTTTCTTCTAAAACAGCTTGAATTTAGGAAAAAAAAAAGCCTCATAAACCTTACTAGAGAAAGAATTACATTTACGGTTGAAATTAGTTATTTTAGTTTTATTATTCCTTTACTAACTTTACTAATAATAAACACCTTTATGTAAAGTTAAGCTAAAATTTCTTTTGAAACAAGGGCTCGTAATTAAATATATTATTTTCTCCATCGCTTTATCACACAAAGTACTAATAAAAGTAAAAGGATACTTTTTAAGTAAAGTTATTTGTTTCAGAGGGAAGAAGTTAAAAAGTAACTATTTTCTTCTTTAGCTGTTTCAAAGATATTTTTCTCTTCGTGAGATAACAGCGCAAAATACCACATCTTCCGCGGAGATAAATAAGTATCTCGTATTTTTGTGGCAACATTCTTGTTTATTTGAGGATTTTTAAATATCATAAGCCTTGTTTGTACATCTGTCGCAACGCAGATAAGATTTAATTCTCGTAAGCTAAGTGCAATGAAAAGGAAAACGTCTCGGTTTTGGTAAACAAGATTCTTTCACTTCTAAATCCCCTGAAACAGGTTTACGGCGTGAATTGAGCAACATGTCATTTCCCGTTAGCGTTATTAATGGCTGATGAGGAAAAAGAAAGGGGGGGGGAACGACGCCGAATGGAAAATTAACAAAATTTATTTAAGAACAACATTGTTGCAGAAAACGCAAATTTGTTACTTTTGTTTCGCTATTTGCTAAATTAAGCTGTTGGTTTTAATATTATTTTTTTATCTTGAGACGTCAAAGAGGAAAACATTTAAAATAAAATAAGCAAGTGAATTCCTAAACAGGTAATCCCAGGAATCACCTAAGGAGGAAAATAGCCGCAAGATTGTCGATAAATCGGAAATTCAAACTACGTATGAAACCGTGCAGCGTCTAAATAACGAAAAAAATAATTTATGATATAGTTTAATAGGAAAAAGAGATTAAATTTTTCTCTTTATAAAATTCATTTTTCTGGAGATTACTGGAAGGCATATACAGTTCAAGTTACATTTAAGGGCTGGATACGGTTACAGTTACATGGAGATGAATTACAGTTATTCATTTGCAGTAGCAATTACAGTTATACAGGGATAGGACCAAAATTTCGTTAAATGGTCTCCACGTTTGGTGACGTTTGGCGATTTCTCATCACATTTTGCAAAAAAATTAGTCGCTAAAAGTATCGGCAGCTTGGCGTTATCTCGCCAATTTAGCGAGATGGCCATTTACCTCAATGTTAAATAGACTTGCCCCTGTAATCTTCTTTTTCCAACCGAGCTTCATCTCTTTAGACCTTTCGTGTTATATTATATAAAAGATACTACAATTTCACATATAAATTTTATTAAAATTATTTATATATACAAAATTCATAACAATATATATATTGTAGTTTAAGGTTGCAAGTCTGTTGTTTTTATATTCTTCTTTTCTTTACGTCTTCTGAAGGTATACTCAAAACAAATAACTCTTCAGAGTTCTAGCACTCGTTAAAAATTTTGCACACCACTGCTATATTTCTTTCACCGCAAGTGCAGCGAATAAAAACGTACAATTTTCTTACGCTCACGAGCTCACAGCAACAACTGACGAATGGCCTCCAGCCATCTTATCTAACAGATAACCCAATCGCCGACATCTGTTAAGGCGAGGAACACGTAGCGCTTAGGAAAAGGAACTGTAAAAAAAAATTAAAAGTATTCATTTTGTTGCAGACGACACAATAGGTTTCTTTGCCGGCAGAAGTGATACAATGTAGATGAACAAAGAGGATTACTCTGGATGGATGCCAAGGGGTCTTGGTCGAGAAGTGGGTCAAATCTTCGCAGAAGTCGTAGCTGTCAGACTGATCTGATGTACGATCATGGGAAGCACATTGCGCTCTTTCAGCGCCGCAACTTTCAAATGATTGTCTTGTTTGGTGGTCATGTTCATTGTTTGGTGTTTTAGAAATATTGATGTCTTTATGAATGAAAAACAACCCAGTATCGTAATTCTTTATGACTTTGAGCTTGTGCAAAGTTACACCAAATTGTATTCAATGCAATCATTATTTTGAGGATCTACTATTTTATTGTGGAAATGACAAAGGTTTTTTACAAATATTTCAAGGTATTCAAATCTTAAAAAGCTGCAGTACAATCCTTTCTTTCAGATTTTAGTTTGACGTGTAAAATAAATGAACGTGAAAGAAGATTGTTAAGCTAAAAAATACAAGGAAAGTTAAATTAATGATTGACATGCTTATTGGCATTATTCATTTAAATTTCAATTTTTTAAACATTTCCCAGGGAAAAAAGCAAAATAAAATGCGTTTTGCAGTTGCTCTGTAAAATAAATTGGCGATCCCCCCAAAAAAAAAACCACTATTGTGGAATTTTCTTGTAACGTCCACTTTTCTAACTGCCTCTGAAACTGACCAACAATTCTATAACAGCATTAATCAACATATATGTCATTTATTACCTCGCCAAAATTATTATCTCCACACAAGACTAGAATCATCCAAGACCACGAGTGGGCATCTTAGGATTAATTGTATGATGATACAGGCAAAAAGATAATTGGCATCTAAAGGTAGTACAATTTTACCAATTTTAGAAGTCCTGTCAAAAGCACCACGTTTGCCATGTACCTCGTAGGAGATGTATCCTGAATTCTGTTGTGCCTGTATTCTACTCTATCGATTGGGAACGAGGCTTGCACAATCGTCGTTGTTAGTGGAGTAGATCTTTTACGAAAAACGACAATGATTATCTTCCATCCAGCTCAGACTCTGATAAACATTCTATTTTGTGCATCTCCCAAAAAAGAAGTTTTTTCTTCGGAATGCGACCTATCAAAATAACAGCCATGATGTGTTTCGCAAATGGAGACCGAGTCCCTTACTCTACGCCTCAAACAGTTGTTTTGGGAGCTTTAGTCTGTTATGCCATCTTTAGTCTATTTGACGCAAAAGTACCGAGTTTTCAACATTTTGCCAATACCTGTGAAGAAACAGAGTAACTGACCAATGACAAGGAAATACAAGATGTTAGTTTTTAACTTCCGTGATCGTTTGGCGTCAATGTTTGTCTTAAGGAAAAGAGTCCTGTTTGAAAACGAAAGGTAAAAGCTCTTGTAGAGACATTAAGTTAATTGGAAAAAGCCAGAGAGACGAAAAATGAGCAATCACCTTCGCTGGGAATCGAACCACGGACCTCTGGATACCGGCCCAGCGTGCAGAATCACTACACCACGAAGGCGCGCTAGGAAAGTGGGAGAAATACCTTATACTCTTAATATTTTATTTTTAGTGTGTTAAAATATGGACTTATTTAATGTTCCGCTGTGATAGTAATGTATTTTTTACAGCAAATATTTACGTGCACATATGGAGAATGAATTATATTATTTCCATTTCAGGAAGGTACACAAGTGCTGTCTGAGGGATGCCTTCGTAAAGAACTCATGTTACGTATACACAGTTACGCATGCAAAAAGAAAACCGCGAAAAATCATACAGCCGAATGCAATCCAGAACGAACAATCAATATGTCATCCCTTTATCGTTAGTCTACTGACAATCTAGAACAAATATAGGAAGTTCTCTTTATCCAAGCTTTCAAATGATTTCATCTACGATTAGTTTGGTTTGGTTTATTTGAGTATGACAAGGCTCTTGAGAGTTATCTGCTAAAGAGGAGGGATGTCTTAGTGGAGACTTTTCTAAGAAAAACTGGTTCTCATCGACGTTACACATGAAGAAAACCTGACAAATGTCGAAGCAGCCAACCCGCTTGCCTGGATTCGAACCTAAGTCAAACTACCAGTGTTCAGAGCCTTTACTCTTAAGCGCTGATGAGCTGTTTAATCTTCGAAGTAGTCATCTTAGAAAGGTAATATTCAATAGCAATGTTCATTTATTTTTTTAGAAGTGATTGTCAGATTAAGATAACTGTGTTGTATTTATGCGTAACAGAATTTTTCTCAAGTCTTCGAGAAGTTGTTCGAGAGCACGTTAGTGATGTCTTATCGGAATTTGCAAGACTCTGTAATGTTACGCTTGATATTAATTTTACCATTGGCTGTTTTGTCATGCATTATTAAGCATATAATAAATATTATTTCAATTATATGTTGTTATAGAACTTTTATATTACCATATGCATAACGTACTTTCAAAATAATATAATAATAATAAAAATACAAAATAATGTAGTACTGTATATTATTTACGAATACATACT